ACGTAAGACGCGCGTCAGCTCGAGCGGGAGCGGGACAACCTCACAGAATTTGCTCCGCATGCGGAGTCGCGTAGCGTAGGTATATTTTCATGCCTAAAGCGCGGAGTGAGACAGGCCTGCTATTACTTTAACTAATTAAAATTATAAATTTAATTAACACATAAGCGTCAATCATGGCGCATCTCTATTTAACCGCTTCATCAATGTATCAGTATCTATAGAACACCTGTTTACACTTGGTATAATAGGCAATGAGCGCAACGCGCGCTCTGTAGTTTTCTTGCTTATAAATACTTTAAGGATAATACTGAAAACAAACACATTATTTGGAATGTTAATAAAACAATTCAAATAACAATAAACATTATATTAATAAATCTAAGTTTTATACATAGTATGAAATATAAATACAATCTCCAGTTATACAATTACATGTCTATTTACATTTATAATAAACACTCGACGAGTGTTGCCACTTTTCCAACCTACAAAAATAAATATTACAGAAATATATGAATATCTGCGGACCATGAAATTAATCATAAAAATATTATCTATTAAGATTAAAAATAATTTATAATTTTTTTTTAGATTATGACGTACAAAATAAAGCAAGTGAAAACAATTTAGAAGAAAACTTATTTATAATATATTACTTATTATGGTTTGCAAATTTGAAATATGATACATTTAACTGATGTTTTAAATATGATTCAGTTCCAAATATTATTGCACTGGAACCTTTGTTTAATCCTATTCTACAAAAATTAATGCTATTTTATATTCTTTGGATTACAAAGAAACGCCCGAAATTCAACATTAAAATGGTACAAAAATAAATGATTTACTAATGTAATCAACAATACCTTATAATGAAATTCCGAAAACAATCCAAACACCTATTGCCATGAAATTATATATATATATATTGACCGATAATATAAAACCTTAAATTAAGGAAAACCAAGTTAATAAACAATCTCCGTATAAATATTGAGTTTTAAAATTATGAGATTTGGTGTAAAATTAATTTAGCACCAACATTTATGTTAGAAGCTTATTATACAACTAAAATATAAAGTACTATAAAAAGAGGACAAGATGGGGGACTAGGCAACATGCTTATAACTCCTGTAAATGAACACTATGGCGACGTTATAAAAGTAAAAAAATGCCCAATGACATAGTAAAATATATTTAAATTCTTAACACGTTGATCCTAAAATCTACGTTCGACCTAGCGTGCTTATGTTAACCTTTTCGCTGTCCCGTGTACTACATAATATAGTTTCTTGTTATTGTTTTACTATAGTGTCTGAAAATTACTAAAAAACTGTTGATTTATTTCGTAAAGAACATAAGAAAAAGGCGGTGACTAAAAATCTTTAAATTTTTCATTATGATCATGATTTGAAAATGGTAAGCTTTTAATAACTGTTCTGATACGTAATTATTAGACGATTTTTTAAAATAAAAGATATCCAATGTATTTTAGACATTTTTATATATTTTAGAACATTGTTGTGTTTTTAAGAGAGAAGAAATGGCTAAATATTGTAGAAAAAACGATTTTAAAATGACTCAATTCGGGCTTTTGTGTAGAAAGGACATTTTCAATAATGAAGATTTACTATAAATTATAAACAATATAATATAATGTTACAATAACATAACCCATATTATTTTATTATAGCCACTCCATAAGTTCAGATCGATATTGAGAGTAAAACGAATATATAGCAACTTACAGACCGTAAGGCCAATGCAGTTTTAAAAAAAAATACAAAAATTCCCTTACCGATTTAAAATTAGAATTTGTGACAATGCACCTGTAGCCTTCTTTGTTTGAAGTTAGTTGAAGGTGTTCATGGGCTGTGGTAGCCACTTTGACATCAGGTGAACTGTTACTCAGTTTTATAAAAATATATATTATGATTCACATGTGTATACATCTTGTCAGATTATGTATTCAACAATCAGTTTTCATTTTGGTTTATGTACGAAGGTTTTATGTAATTTTGGAAAGCAGTTATTCTAAACAGATAACTAATTGGTTACCAATACAATATAAAAAGTTTTGTAAGATTTTTAACCCTATGCCTGTCCCGTGCATTACATGTAATTCATTGCTATTATCTTACTATTGTGTCTGCAAACTGGACAGTCAAAGTGTTAACTGCCGTGTGAACGGCAGCGGTTATTTCCCAGTTGAAACATTTCCAAGTAATGATTCGCATGTGTATACAGCTTGTCAGAATATGTATTCAATAATCAGTTTTCATTTTGGTTTATGCACGAAGGTTTTGTGTAATTTTGGAACGCAGTCATTCTAAAGAGATATAACTAATTGGTTACCAACACAATATAAAAAGGTTTGTAGGATTTTTAACCATTTGCCTGTCCCGTGCATTACATGTAATTCATTGCTATTATCTTACTATTGTGTCTGCAAACTGGACAGTCAAAGTGTTAACTGCCGTGTGAACGGCAGCGGTTATTTCCCAGTTGAAACATTTCCAAGTAATGATTCGCATGTGTATACAGCTTGTCAGAATATGTATTCAATAATCAGTTTTCATTTTGGTTTATGCACGAAGGTTTTGTGTAATTTTGGAACGCAGTCATTCTAAAGAGATATAACTAATTGGTTACCAACACAATATAAAAAGGTTTGTAGGATTTTTAACCATTTGCCTGTCCCGTGCATTACATGTAATTCATTGCTATTATCTTACTATTGTGTCTGCAAACTGGACAGTCAAAGTGTTAACTGCCGTGTTAACGGCAGCGGTTCTTTCCCAGTTGCAACATTTCCAAGTATAAAAGTCCGTTAGTCTTGTTAAAACTCAAACGGCTAAATCGATTTTGATGAATTTTTTATGTGTTTGAATGGGTTTCTAGATGGTTTAGATTCACATTTGGAGCCGGTAGGTGGCGCTATTGTCGAGATCCAGAATTCGTCCGTACGAAGCCGGAGCGGATCGCTAGTTTACATATATAAATATAACACAGCAATATATATTAGTAATAGTGTCCATACTAATGAAGAACGTTAGCATCTATGTTTACGTTTTTGCACTCATTTGCAATCAAAGATCAACCACTTATGATAATATGTTTTAGTTTTAATTAATAGTGTTTTATAAATTTCATATGATTTTATTACAGGTATTTTTGAAGCATAATAATTTTATCACAATGATTGATGGTCCATAATTTTGCATATTTCCATTGCTAGATATAATTTTTTGAAAAGCCAAACTTATTTTATAGGTCTTTCAAATGAGACTATCATGCTTGCTTTTTTACTTTATGTTATTTAAAACAATGTACATACTTCGAAAAAAGAACTATTGAATATAGAATAGGTATTTAGTAATGAGTTCCAACGACAATAAATTTCAGTACATCTTTACATTTTGTTTTTCCCCACATTAAGTAGCACGAAAACGCATAATTCGAGAATTTCGAGTTACGCGTTTTCATAATATACATGCAATCTTTTGTTAATCTTAACTTTTTTCAGCTTAGATAGGAAGATTCACGTATGAGTGTTTTTCTTAAAAAAGACTAATAATAATGGTGAAAAATAATAAACAGACTTATTACAATGATAAAATAAAATATTTTTTATCATTTTTATAGGTCTACAATAATTTTAATTATTAGTTAATATAAAATTTTATTATACCGAGTGTCTCATAAAAATCTCATAAAGCAACTATTTCAAGCGCGAAAGAGATGGTACGGTACTGCGAGGTGGGGGGGGGGGGGGGCGGAGAGCGCTGCGTTAGGTAACGTGAACGTCGTTCTAGAAGTAAAATTTTAAGTTGCTATCATGCTGTACACGGGAGAGCAACGCGCTTTTCGCGTGCGCGTCGTTGTATGAGGCGACTGTGTGAAATGCTAGAAAGATCTTTTGGCTTCCCTATAGATAGCACTATAACCATGTCGTTTACACCAGACGTAAAATACTGAGACAGGTGTCGAACAGCAGCGCCTAACGTCTGTCAACAGAGTACTGTTGTCTAAGATCGACAATTTGCCTGCCAATTGTGGCAAATTTTCTCTACAATAGGAAAGGACTATATCCAGCAGTGGATATTTACAGGCTGATGATGACGATGAAGTAGAAGAAAAATAAATAAATTATTTTTTATCATTATAATATGTCTATTTGCCTGTAATAAAATTATTTAGTGTTAGGGCAAATAACAAAGTTATATAACTTAAAAATTAAAAAAGGACAAACTATTGTAAAATATAAGTTGCCTTATAATTGATTACTTTAGGAAATTTTGCATTGAAATATTTTACATAATCATATTTATACGATAATACTACGTAAAAAGAATGGAGAATGGAAAAGTAGCTAATATTTTTTATGTATTTGAAGCTTGATAAAAATATTTAAAACAACGGTCATGCTTATTAATTTTTGAGATGCTGTAGTTAATTTATTACAGCAATGCAGCAGTTGTCTCCATTCTATAAGTTTCTCGGGTGTGGTGAAGACGTCCGACACTAAATTGCACAACAAACAACCAAACCCGGATCAGTTATTTGTAGGCTTTACATATACCTGACCATGCTGGTATAGAAAAAGCAACTTGCAACACTGTAGCGAAATGCTTAGAGACCGTGTGCTGCCTAGTATGAAAAGGCTTTTTAAGACGTTGAAGACTTTTTATCGATACTTTAATCATTAAAAACTTTTTATGAACTTACTTAAGACGGAGTACACAAGTATATACTTAAACAGTATACAATCAACGCCGTTTTTTTTATTTGCAGTCTAGAGTTGCTTTGTAACGTGTTTATTAAATATAAATTGCTTTTTCACAAAATTATCAAAATTAAGCTCATATCATATTAAATTCAAGCCCGTAGTGAAATAAACCCAGCGTAAATTTCACTCTGCGGCTAAATGCGTTTATAACTCTATACTTTAAATTTTTAATAATTCTATTTTATACCTAGGTCTAGACTTGAGGGATACTTCATGAAGCGGTGTCGATGTGTTCCTTCGGTGCGGGTGGTAATACGTGTACTTGCTTGGCTTTACCCGCGTGGTACACTTGTCCCGGACTGAATGGTTCGAGACGTGGATGAGTTGAGATGTCTTTTTTTGGATCTGTGGATAGAAAATTATTGGTAATTATTTGAGTATCACTGCATCATGATAGATACAAGTGGTAAAATTAAAAATTTTGTACAACCGACTTCAATATAAATAAAATGATAACACAATGTATGTAGTCAAAGTCAATTAAATACGCATTATTAAGGATAACTCAAAAACTACGGGTCAGATCTTGCTAAAATTTACATGAGACAGCTTAAAAATAAAAAAAGAATAATCAAAATGGGTTCACCTAGAAAAAAGTTCTGAGGTAAGACACACAAAAAAATACAGTCGAATTGAGAACCTCCACCTATTTAAGAAGTCTGTTGAAAATTTAAAGATACATGATCATTGTTGACGCACGAAATAATATCCTTCATATAATAACTGTAATTTAGATATAACCAAAATGTAATGATAATCGTGTAATTTCGGTGGTATTTTATGATCACTAAAAATGGAGTAGCTTCCGTAAACCCTCACATATTGTATTTGTAAAAATTTTATCAATATCAAGTAATCAAGAATGCGCCGGAAATTGATCGCTAAAGTACTCCTTCACTAAGACAACGCACACAAAATCGATGTTGCGATGGCTAAATAACAATAATATTCAACGGTGACTAGCTATTTGCGTAGGACAAGATTATAGTGGGTGGTATACAGTTGCACTCTCTATTCCCTCACTCTCATAGTCCGATGGGACGGCAAGCCGAAACGACCGGAGAGTTCAGGCGCAGGACCAACGGCTTTACGTGCTTTCCGCGGCACGGGGGTGAAACACCGCCTGACTCCGGGCTGCTAGAAGGAATTACTTGACAGTAAAACTCAATTACTGATTTCTGAATCGTCACAGGATGTTCCATGAATGTTTTATAAGTAACATAAAGTTGTTACCTAGAAAATATACATTTTATTTACATAATTTTGTAAAGTAATAGCTAACGGTATTACGACTTTTTCTGCCACCAGGGCGGCGCCACTGTATAGTGAGGTAAAATATTTGACAGATTTCATAGCGTGGAAGATAATTTCTTAGAAAAATGTAACCTTCAAGGTTTTGTTTCTCTATTATTAGTTATATTTTGTATTAATTACATTAGAAATGAATAACCCAAACTATAAATATAACTAGAAGCAATTTTTTTAAGAGTTATAAAGTAAAAAAAAAATTAAAATCAAACCACTGACGCATTGTGTTGTGTATTAATATAATACTCTAGATAATGATAAACTATTATTTAAAACTAATTTCCCAATTAACTGACACTGTGTAACAAAAAAACTTTACCTCAGTCACAACTAGCGACATCTGGTGAGTGGAAGACTATTAGCCCTCATTGAATAGAATAGTCTAACACCCCTGTCTAAATCAGTTGTGAATTGTGTATGGCCTAATGATGAAGAAAAATTATGTCCCTAAATTGTTTTAGTTATAGTTTAGACAGACTACTTTGAGTACAAATGTACAAATTCCTAGACACAACTCCATAAATATAGTCACCTTTGGTATTAGCTGGTATATATTTGGAGAGTCTGACGGTGGGTAGAGGCAGGTAGCCTGCGACTAGCGGCATCACATCTAAAATCACCAGCTGCGGTTCACCCGTGTTGCTCTCCATTGTTATTACTCCTAGAAATATATGAGAGGGTAATTAATAGAATCAGGCGTTACTTTACGGAAATCGATTATATTAACGATGTTAAAAAATCAACCAGGTAATATCCGCAAAATAAAATAAAATGGCGTGTCTTACGTAGACTGAAGAGCAGGAGGGTGAGAGGTGCTCTCTATCGTTAATAGAGTTTGTTATAGTATTGTAAGCTTTATTTAGTGTTTTATTAAATACAAAATTTCTTCATTCTTCTAAGAAATAATAATATAGCCTGACCAAAATAAATAAAAACCCTGCAATGTTGCTTCTTCTAGATTTAGCATTGCAATCTAATCAGTCGGTATCATTATGCTAACGTAAATTATTAAGTAATTAACTATTCTTAAAAACTATTCTAAAAACAAAGAATTCCTTTACATACACCATAAATTACACAAATAATATCTAAGACTTTTTTGATGCCGAATAAAGTAGGTTGTGTTTCGCTTCTTCATCTTGATATCCTAGCATCCTATAGCTTCCTTGAATAAATTATTGCCTGCCATATTGAATAAATAGATTATGGCAATCTAGTCTAGACATAAGTTCTGTGTTATTGCCATAACATTGGTACAGTGTCGTTGAATGAAAATGTGTCGATATGTCATCAGTCTGTAGCAGTCCACTGCTCAACACAGTTAGGTAGGTTTATTGACTATGAAGGAGAATGGGATTTTTGGCACTGGTTAACAAACTGGTTAATACTTTAAAAAATTTGCTATATTTTTCTAAGTTAAATATAAAAAAAACTAGTTCTTTTTACAATCTAGATTTCGAAAAACAATAAAATAAGATATAAGTTAAAAAATCGATTATTAATGCAATCGATTTTATATTTATTCGGATCCAAAACATTAAACTGAAAAAGCTTCCAAAGTTTCATTATAATTCTATTAATTACTTTGAATGATATATTCATTTGGAAATAAAATATATTATTCGCATAAGTAAAAAAGAAATAAACATTTTATGGCAACAAATTGATTACCATAAAGAATACACTAGTGATATTCTCGTTTCTGAACGCTAGCTACTAGTACTTCTTATTAGTTTGTGCTACCTACCAATCAAGTTTCTCATTTTGAAACTTGACTTGATAGTTCTACTTTCAAAGTAGAACTATCAACTATCAACCCACATTCTTCAACTTTGAAAGTTGAAGAATGTGGGTTGAGAATGGGTGAGTCAACCGTCAAATGCCTTTTGTACGCCGATGATCAAGTCATATTTGCATCGTCGGCGGCCGAGTTGCAAATGATGGTTACTTTAATGAATTGTTCATTGAAAGAAAGGGGTATGAAAGTGAACGCAAGTAAGACGAAAGTGATGGTTTTTGAAAGAGAAGAAAGTAAAACTTTATGTAAAATAAGAGTAGAAGGGGAGTTGATTGAGCAAGTGGATGAGTTTGTATATTTGGGATGTTTATTTAGCAGGGATGGTAGATATGATAAGGATATAGAACGACGAGTGAACGCAGGAAATAGAGTGAATGGGGCTCTACACGCTATTGTGAGGAGTCAGAATGTGTCAACTAAGGCACGTATGGCAATTCATAATGCTGTGTTAGTACCGACTTTAATGTATGGTAGTGAAAGTTGGGTCTGGCAGAAGAAGCATGAGAGTAGAATAAATGCTGTAGAAATGCGTTCCTTAAGGAGTATGCTAGGGCTGAATCTGAATGACAGGGTGAGAAATAGTGTAATAAGAGAAAAGTGTGGTTTGCAAGATGACGTTGTGACAAGGATTAAGAAAGGAATGCTTCGGTGGTTTGGTCACGTAGAAAGAATGAACGAGGAAAGAGTGACAAAGCAAATTTATGTAGCAGAAGTGAACGGCAGGGTCGGGAAGGGACGCCCTAGACGAAGGTTTATCGACCAGATCGGCGATACATTGAAAACGGGCCAGATTAGGAGTACCCTTAACCGACGAGCGTGTATGCGTAGATATATGGATGTGAAAGAGGCGAGAGAGGTGTGTCAGGATCGCGCCAAATGGAAGTCCGTAGTCTCTGCCTACCCCTCTGGGTGACAGGCGTGAGTGTTTATGTATTATGTATGTATGTAGTTCTACCTTCAAAATTGAAATTGAATTGAAAACACTTAAAAGACCGATTTTCGATTTGATTTTAAACGAACGCAATATAATCGATTCTCGATTAAATTGGGCATTTCAATATTTATTTTCGATTATTTTTCTGTGTTAAATAGGGCGATATAAAAATTGAGATCATATTATCTACATAATAATAATAAAAAATACAAAATATCAACATGCTAATATGCCAACAAATAACAGTAACAGAAACAAGTCAAGTAATCGATCTCAGATCGATATGCCTAATGTCCACTTCAATATTAGTTGTTGTTGTTTTAACTTTCGTTAATCAGTATTTCGTTTCCTAAGTAACCACAGCTTTTCTTTCGTGTTTTTATACTGATACTGCTTTTAGATATTAAAGTAATTATAGTGAAAAATAACCTGTTACAGTGTAAAATCACCTCTTACAGGGTAGGTAATACATAAAATCATTTTTACTTATTCTACAATAACTCAGCTCCTAGATTGACAAATCTTGCCAGATTTTCAGCTATGAATTGTTTATACAATAATATGTAACAAAAACCCTGTGGTTCCCGTTAATTACGTTATCAGAATCATTATTCAAACGTATAGAAATAACTTTTTTTTAAAAACTCAAACAATATTCTTTTTTATTTTATTTAAAAAAAATTGTATGCAAATTTTATGTGGTTTTATTTCCTCTGCATTGTCTACTAGGGATTGTACTAAGAGGATTGTCAAAGACCCCGCTTTACTTAGCTTTAGCATCGGATAGTGTCAGTAAGAGGTAATAAAACCACATAAAATTATAAAAAAAATATGGCCGTGTTTTTAAAAAAAAGGTATTTCTATAGGTTTGAATACTGATCCTGATAACGTACTTAACGGGAACCACAGGGTTTTTGTTACACGTTGTATATAAACTTTCAAATGGTCCACAACTTTCATCTTGTTAACATCTAGACCCAAGAATGTATGGAGACGTCTCTTTATCCTTTGCAAAAATATATATCTACAGGTAAATATATTTTTTATAGAATACGGGTGACAAACGAGCACACAATATATCGCATTTGTTTTAATATAGAGATTTCTTTAAACTATTAGCTGAAATACCTGCAGTTCGCCCTAACACGGCCCACATTGTTTGATCCGCCAGAACTTCATACATAAGCGAAGTATATTCAGTTTCATTAACCTGTAAAAGGAAAGTCATCATGTTACAAACATACTGCTTATTCGTTTTTTTTTAATACAAGTAAGAGTAATAAACGGGCAGGTAGTCAACTTGATAGTAAGTGGATGCTATGGTCCATAGATATTGCATCTATCCTCAATTAATAATATATTGTAAAAAGAGTTTTTAATCGTGAATCCTATTACCCTATGTATGGTTCTCTCGAATGAAGATGTAAACTTTGACGTTGTTGCCAGACAATGGTTTTATAATGCCGCTGGTTTTATCAACCAGTTAACTGGATGGCTATACGCCGATAATTAAAAGCCAGAATTCAAATGAACGCCTAAAGAAAGCTTGACGTGAACATTGAAACTAACGTAATAGCGTAACATAGCCATGTCTGACGACCGTCCTTTGCACCCTGTGTATTTCGTATACAAATCTGTGTATCCAAAAAAAAATTAACCTATGAAATACACAGGTTGCAAGGGAGGGTTGTGACACATGGCTGCGACATATATATGAGATAGTTTTATTTTCTGGCATTTTCAGCTGTTGACTCTTATGAAACCTTAGATGGAGGGTAATTGAATTCCCCACATCGTCGATGTTTCCAAACAAAGAAAGTTACAGTTGTGTCACTTTTTTACCGACTTCAAAAAAGGAGGAGGTTATCAACTCCTCGGAATCTATTTTTTATGTATGTTCACCGATTACTCAAAGACACCTGAACCGAATTGGAAAATTATTTTTTTGTTTCATAGGGTATACTTCCCAGGCGGTCCCATTTAAATTTTATCGAAATCGGTCGAACGGTTTAAAAGAAACAACAATAAATTTTATTCATATTGAAGTCATTTGTACAATTTTTTTTTAATTTTACCATATGTTGTACTGATATATCAATTGAATGCACTGCTGTTTACATCGACAGGTATGTGGTACCTGCCCATACATACTTCTCAGCAGACAATAGTCCAAGACTATGAACCATTGTCTGCCTCGTAATGGTTGGTAGGTACCACCGAGTAACCTTGTCCCATAGAGAGATTTTATTGGTAAGAGACGACTTTGTGGAGGTATTTAGAATCCGAACTACTACTACCTACATCGCGGGTTCGTGTTTGAATTACAACTAAAATTGAAAATTACGAAAAAATATTAAAAATACAAAATTCTAGCCTTTGGTCAGTTTTTTTTTGTGTTTTCCCCCATTCAAGTTGACGAATACGGGTAAGTAGGTAAGTTAAGTTTGTGTAAATATAAGCCTTGTACAATTGTGACACTGTGATATCTCCCACTCAGTAGGTAGCTTTTTTATACAAAGGACTAACAGCACACAGTCCACAAGAATGGTAAGTTGACGTAGTAGCCGATAGACACTTACATACATCTATTAACGATACAGAATGAAAAGGTGCGTTTTCACCCTTGAGGCCTAATATGGAATATTTCGTTATCGGTATAAAGGGTCGCCGGTTCTTTCTACACTCACCATATAAAACAAAGCATTATTCTTATTATATTATCTCTTACGCTGATATTCTGTGAGAGCGTGGTTCTTCCTCAGTCAAGCCGACACATTCGTATTTCATCAGGACATCTATGTAATAGGTAAACATACTTACTCTTTGCACGCTAAGTTGCAAGCAGCATACTTGCGAAGCACGACAGAAGTCCGATCCCTTCCCAGGCTCTAACTTAGTCCGTATAACGAACAGCGTCGTGTAATCCTGTATATCGAACGGACATACGAACGATCGAAGTGGTCCCTCGACGTTTGTTGGACGGTACTGTACTGTGAAGGTTGCCTTCATAGGCCCGGCTTTGACTAAGGGATCTTTGAGTAACTCCCACATAAATGATGCTGTTGTGCCATCTGATGCTACCATCTATAAATACGAAAATATACCAATTCTAGTTATCAATTTAGGTTACAGATATTGCTTACTTGTTTATTGTATTTGTAGTTTTAGTAAAACGCCGCGTGATGGCGGTATAATAATAATAATGTCCTCCAGACCAGAATTTCAGTCACGGCGACCAGTCTCAACGGAGAAGCACTGCACAGGACAGGATTATAGTGCCCAAGTGTATGCGCAACACACACACTCTCTTTAATCCCTAACTCACACGACACGACATGAGATAGATCAGGCGTTGGATCAACGGGTTTACGTGCTTTCCGATGCACGGGGGTGAAACACCGCCAACTTCCTGACTCCGAGCTGCTATTGAGCATTTTTCGACAGCAAAACCCTATAACTGAATTTGGCCTTACCCGACGAACCCGGAACTTCACGATAGGCAACCAAGTATACGACTTGACCAATGAGGCAAATATTTGGTGGCGGTATGAAGAATTCATCACTCTCTATTTCGTCCCGTAGGTGTCTTAAGAGGCGACTATGAGAAATGCCAGAAAGATCGCATGGTCTCCGGTAGATGGCGTTAGTCAACGCAGTTACATTCTTAACCAACTACACATGTAATAAGTTCCGAGCCTAAGTAAGAAAGTCATAATTTTTATTCAAAATTCAATTTTATTCATCAATATATTCTCCTTCAAGAGTGATATAGTCCAGCGCCGCTCCAACATTTCTATGCCTTTTTTATAATACGATTTGGCCCAACCCTTCAAAATACGCTTCAGTTTCGGCGATCACTTATTCATTTGAGGGAAATTTCTTTCCGGATAGCGTTTTTTTTAGGTTATCGAACAAATAATAGTCGCTGGGGTCTAAATCAACAGTGTGTGAGCAAGCAAGTCAAACTTCAACTCTTTAAGTTTCGCCATGGTGACAACAGACTTGTGACATGGTGCCATGTCCTGAAAAAAAAACTTTTTTCTTTTGAATTTGAGGCCGTTTTTTCGCGATTTCCTCCTTCAAACGCACTAATAACGACATATAGTATTCGCTATTGATCCTTTCGCCCTTCTGTAGATATAGTCTAAAAATATTATATCATGCACATCCCAAAACACGGATGCCATAACCTTTCCAGCTGAAAGAGCAATGGCAAAAAAATAGTTGAGAAAAATTATAGCGTCTAGAAATAAGTTATATATAAAATGAGTTTTATTATTTTTCTATGATTTTTCAAATAAAAATGTATTTTAACTAAAGCTACAGAAAAAAAACTAACATTTTTGGGAATATCAAATGACTTAAATCATTTCACTTCAAATGTTGCCATTTAATAATAATTCTAACATCTAATATATTCATACTATTTTCGTATACACTTTGTAACACTACCAACACAACACACAAAATATTTTTATATTAAGTTATTATTAGTAATAACTGTACTATCATTAATAATAATAATAAAAGTGATATGGCTGAGAATAAGTCTCTTACAAAGAATTTCCTACAATAATACATCATCTCAATCATAGTACTATGTAACAATTCCATTTAATGTTATGCCAACACTATCTAAAATTAAATGTCACTGTTTTTTTTCTGGCTTTACGGCCCTGGGTTCTAGCCCTTCTGAGAATGTCACTATGATACAAAAGCCCTGGAGCCATGCCAGAAATATACATTCATAGTATGCAAATATATAATAGAGATACAATAATCTAAAAACTCTTAATTATGTATTATTTATCAAGCTAACATCAAATAACCACAGGAAGTATGACTCCTTCCAAGTGACATAGGACATAGACTACAAATGTTCAAATGTAAATATGTTTTTTTTGACGCCTTCTCAGTACAAAATTCTTTGACAGAGTTATTAAGGGAGTGACGCTTAACATTTTAAGATATTTTTGGTATATAGACGCTACCATTTCTTCTCAACTAATTTTATGTATGAAAGTCTGCCATTGCTCTTTGAGTTTTTGGTCGCTTTGGGCGGTTTTCATTGGTTGCTGTCCACTCACTTCACTGCCGTTTTAATTCTGGAGTGTAGTGGTGGATCCAAGATTCATCCATTGTGACATACCACATAAAAAATCATTTTTGTTCCACCTAAATAACTCTAAACAGTGCTCTGAGAGGCTTCAACACGTTGATGCTTTTGGTCAACGGTGAGCAAACGCGGTACCCACTTGGAACAAAGCTTTCTCATAAACAAATGTTCATGCAAAATGGTGAATGCACTACCTTTCGATATCTTTAGGTCGTCGGCTATCTCTTGCAATTTTATTTTACGGTCTTCCAAAACTATATTGCGAGCTTTTTTATGTTTTCTGAAATAACTGCCTCATTTGGGTGTACAGAGCGTTCAGCGTCATTTTTCTGTTCGTTGGCGCTTAAATTCAACAAACCTACGTTTAACTGTTGCTTTTGATGGAGCAGAGTCCCCATAACACTTGTCAAGCAAACTTTTTGCTTCAACGGTATTTTTCTTAATTAAAAACAATGTTTAATTAGCACTCGAAATTCTTTTTCGTCCACTGTTTAATTTTTTTTTAAAGTGGCGCCAAAAAAATCACTGTAACTTGTAAACAAATAATTTAGAGATTATGAAAATTTTGCACAGATTATATAGAAATGTGTTCTTTTTATAAATAAAAATATTTTTTTCCTAACAGCGCCATCTTTACGTCAGGCTCGGGACTTATTGACTGACGTAATATGTATTTCTAACTTGCATGTTGGTTTTTCTACTTTTACTATTATAAACCAGTGCTTAACTACTAGGTGGGATAGATTTGTCAAGCACTGGCAATAATTAAACTAGTGTAATGGTAAGTGGTCTCGTAACCGAAGCTGACAAAGCGCACTTCCTTAGCTTAAACACAACTGTACCACAATCAACAACTTCTGAACAAAGAGCCAATTACCAAATACCAAGAACCAATTAGATAGTGAAATAAATGTTGTCGCCTTCGCGTTTTATCACATACACCAAAACAGACCTAAAAATTTATTGTGCATGTTAATTTAATATTAAAAGTAACACTCATAATTTGTGTGCAAAACTGTGTCATAATTATTAGCATGTTATTGCTAAACACGTAAAAAGTTATGCATAATTTACTGTTGGGCACATAAGAATAAAAAAAAAACAGAAAATCTTACCATATCCCCAACATTCTTCGGATTCAAATCCGACAAAGTTGTATTTCCATCGCACTCCAGCTTTGGCTCTGTCAATATGAACTGTATAAGATGAGCAACGGTCGACTTAACGGTCACATGAATGAACTTTCTGGTGTTAGAAGTAAACAGACGCCAAGAAGCTATCATGGGAGGTGAAAAATGGAGGGGGACTTCAGTTACCGCTTCCCACCACGGACAATTTAACCAGACCTGAAACACAGAAATCATACAAAAACTCAAACCTCAAATCAAAATCCGGCAATTGGTTTAAGTTACATTATTAATTGAAGCAATCTTGTAATAAATAAAACAAATTATTGGTAACTCTCATAAAAATAAGTCGAAATTCTCCATAAACATTAATACTTCATATTTACAGTATGTTCAACGGTTTTCTCCCTCCGTGGCTGCAAACTGGCAAACAACCTTAATGGAACACGCGTAGTCTCAAACGCGTCACACGCTGGTATAGGTATGTCTAACTCTCTGGACATCGGCGATAGGTCCTTCGCAAACCGGATAAGCATACCAGTTGACGTTTTCAGATGGATAGATGCATTCTGAAATAAAAAACTATTTAGTTATTTATAAATGCAGATGTGTTGTCATCCTTGAGTAAGACAGAATGCCTCGTTTTCAGAGAAAAGGGCATTCGTTTCATACATACATAAAAACTGCATTTGGTAGTACTATTTTGCGCTGATATTCTTTGAGAGTTTGATAATTATAAAGTTGCGAGCTCAGTTTATACAAGCGAGATTGAAATTATATTGTATTATATCTAGTAAAACTAGAATTATAATATATATATATATATTGAATTATATAATATATATAATAAATTACCTCTCCAATACGGGTACTTCCACTTGTAACCACCAATTCCATATCATGTTCCAGACCAGCCACCAAATCTTTCTTTGGCTCTACTTTATTTAAATAAACATTAATGCCCTGAGTGATCACGTCGTAACCCATTTTCGTACTCATTAACGCATTGGATAAAAACTCCAATTTCTCTTCTATTAGCAAGGAAATCTGTCCAAGTTTAAAAGTGCCACATTTCCTTGCGACGTACTCAACACATATTTCATTTATTCCTGGAGTTAATGTAATATTATTACAACATAGGGCACTTTCAAAATCATTTCTTACAGTAACCGATGGTTTGCGATACTTAGTGCTTTCAGAACGTTTTAATGTTGCTTTGGGATTTTGGCACTCGACTGTAGTTTTTTGTAGACTTTTGTCTTCTTTGTAGTGCAATTTTGAGGTAAAGTGAAGCGGATTGAGTAAAGGATTCTTAGGTTTTAAATCGTCCAGTCTTATACTGAAAACCAATATAAATAAGTAATTTAGAGTGTCGAAACATTAATCTTTACTAGCATTGGCCTGAAAAAAATTAAGAAAAAATCAACGGAATTAAAACGGAAATGTTAAAATGAATATGTGGAGAGAAAAGAATGAATATGTGGAGAGAAAAGAATGAATAAGGTAGGAATAAGTGGGAATTAATAATTATAAGCTCAAGGTCGCTCAGCGAGCTATGGAGAGGGCTATGCTCGGCGTTTCTTTACGTGATAGACTTATACTCGTGACAATCTAAGAAGCCCGATTTGACAGCTATAAAAATACTTTGCGTAATGATGGGAAAAAAAATTGGTTGCTTTAAGAACCAACTCCCGAGACATATCGATTATTTAGAGTTTGTAATGGATAATGTATCTACATCGTTTAAAATTGATTCTCAAGGCATATCGTTTTAATACATGTACGAGTTTGTAATATTTAACAGTTATTACAGAAATCCAAACTAAGTTTAAATTTGGGCCAGTTTCAAAGCCAAGACGTAAACAAAAATCCGACACACATTGTATATTATGTAGGCACGCCACGGATATGCACCAGTACGAAGCCGAGGCGGGTCGCTAGTCAAGAATAAAATTAACAATAAATAAGTATGGTTGGGTCAGGTAAATAAATAAATTCACTGAATTCGTAACATTTTTATTCTCAATTCTTATCTTAATGCCAACAAACAATTTCTCATAAAACCTTCCCCGGCAGATCCAGCATGACAAATAATGAGGCGTCCACCCATTCCCATTGGAACTTTTGAGCTGGATGCTTGCGTATCATAGGTCCAAGACTGTGGCACAGTATGATTAGCATTTAACCAGTTCAGTGCGGACACGCCAGGCGTGTCATCGATTACTTTTGTGTGTGGCGTGTGACACACGAGTCGTGTCATTTTAAAAAACGTTATAACTCGCTGAAATTGCGTTTTTGGAGAATTTATCCAGAACAAAATATTCATTATTTTGCAAGTAGTTCATGCCTACAGCTTTGTTTCTGGATATTTTGAAAATTTGATATTTTTAGGGGTTGACAACCTTTTTTTAACTTGTACATGGTACTCTTTTTACTTTGTGTGTTTTCAATCATGTTGTGGAAAAATAGTCTAATGAGTAACAAATAATAGCACTCATTGCGATCGCTCACAAACTCAAGTTGTAAATAAATTTCTGGAAAACAAGTCTCCTGTTAAAAAAAACAATGCGTTTGTCTTATTGTTTAATTTTGCTTAAAATGGTTGAACTGCCGTCTTATTACTATCATATGGCCGAATAGACCTACGAAGTACCATGTGCTCTTGTGATATGGTATAAGGTTTATTTTTGCTTGAAACAGTTTGAAACCGATCATGCATAAAAAAGTTCGCTAATAAATAGTCTTTAGTCAATCCGCCGCCGTATAGCGCCGGCGTTTGTTTCCTTTTGAAAACACTTGTTTTGCTATTCTTACTAATTAGAAGATAATTATTTTTACACATGGCTGATGGCACAATAGGCGTGTCATCAACGCGTGTCTGTGGCGCTATACACGCCAGGCGTATCATGAAATATTTGCCGCAACGAATCGGTTAACCATGTCTCTCATCAATAAATACAGGGTATTTTTGGAACGCTCCCGAAAACTAAGACAGGCGACAGCACCAAGTATACCTTTGATCTTGCGTCACAAATAAATTCGATCTTGATGAAAAAAAAATCATCTTTTAACAACGTTTTATTAGCTTTATTCACGCGCCATCATGTTAGTACAGCTAAATGAAACGATAATTTCATAAAAAATATCATGAAAATACTGAAACATAAAACCAGCAGTGGAATGACTGAATTGTATCACCTGACTAAAGGTCAATGTACTCGCGAACGCAAATTCGCGCGGCCCGCAACTAGCGGGCCATACCACTACATACGCTAATGAAAAAATACTTAAATGAAATGTAACCAAGGTTGGAGTCATACGTTTTTATTCATGGTGTAGGTATGTTTATTATTCTCATGTATTCAGTTATGTACCTATTCAGATTAGTTCAGCACTAAGTTATTTAAAAAAAAATAGTTATGAAACAGCTTACCGCTCTAAATCCTCCGTGGTCTTATGAGATGCAGCTCAAATTGTGCTCCATTCATTTCAAGGTAGATTTGGGTGCAGGCGGGGCATCATCGTGTGGTCTTCGACACAGTCCGTACATAGTTTCTTGAAAGCATCCACGATCCTTTGGCGCATTTTGTCAGCACTATCACACTCACGATTAAAAACCCTTTCTTTCACATACCAAAAAGAAGTCTAACGGGGTCAGATCTGGTGAGCGAGGTGGCCAAGCGTGTGGTCCTAGTCTGCCGATCCAGCGATCATCAAATAGCTCATTGAGGCGCTCACGGACGAACCTCACGACATGGTATCGCTGTCTGTTCAGTCGCTGTGGCAGAAACACTGGTCCCAGTATGCGATCCTTAAATAAACCTGCCCATACGTTAACCGACCATCGGGTTTGGTGCCCGGTTTGTCGAACAGCGTGCGGGTTAACCTCTGAATACACGTGTGTATTTCTTCGGTTCCACAGGCCGTTTCTGGTAAATGTCGACTCATCCGTCCAGATAATGTGCTCAATGGAACCAGGCACACGTTGTCGCTGGTATAATAACCAACGGCAGAAAACTCGTCGGTGGACGTGATCGCCGGGAACTAAAGCTTGCACTTTGTGCAATTTGTATGGGCGCATTCGGTTACGCTTCAACACTTTGTGCACTGCACAAACGCATCCCGACGTCTTAACAATTTATTTGGCGATACTTCGTGTACCTGGGTTCGGATAACATGTTGCTGTATTCACAATCACTATAAAAGTACGCGTTAAGCATTATTAAAACAAAAAACGTAACAACAGGTATAATACCAACACGTAATCACAAGTAATAACAATACGATTGAGCTGTCGCTCACGCACGCGTGTACAAAATCAACACGGAACTGTTTCAAAAACTACAATTAATAACGAACCCCAACAAAACTGAAACCTACTGCTAGGACAGTTATTATACTCTTTGTCTCACAGAATACTTTACTCCTTGCTTTGTCTACTGCGTGAGGCGACACGAGCCGGCCGGGTTACATTCTGCCGTCGTCGGGTTACATAAAGAAGGACGCAACTAACAAAAACGTAAAATGGAAATAAAAAATAAATTGATGAATTTTTCTTTCAGACCCTGTGTCTAAAGTACCTATATTAAAAGGTATCTATATGAAAATACGTAGAGACATGAAGATTTTAAGGACGAACAAATTTTTTGATAATTTGTTTATTTATTTAAATAAAACGAATTTTCCTTTTCATCTTACCTTAAAAAATACACCTGGCAACACAAAAACATCGAAGGAAAGACGCATATAACTATTTGCGTCTTTCCAACCTAATAAATTAAAAAAAAAACTGCCATTCATTTAACAATTTTACATATTTTGGAAAGGTCATTTGAAGTTGAAAGGACGCTAATAGTAATTTACTACTTTTTTTTTAATAAATATTAGAAAAGCATTGGTAGTGAGACACAAAAAATAATAATTTTAAAAAGTAATGATTTTAAAGGGGATATCATACAAGACTTACTACGATAATAATTAAAAATTAAAAATTTTGTACAACCGACTTTAATATAAATAATTAAGGATAACTCAAAAACTATTGGTCTGACCTCGATCAAATTTATATGGGACCACATGTGAAACACCAGCTCTTAACAATAAGATATAAGCTCTTAATAATAAGATATAGAATAATAAGACAAGACCAAGAATAATTGAAATTTAAGTAATCGATGCAAATATTGTTAAAGATGACGTAGCAACTGGTTAAATAAGTCTTTTCTTTTATGTTGAATTTGTATAAGTCTTTTCTACTAAAAAAAGTCATCTGTGATCAACAGTTACGTCTAAAATTCTTACGATAATTTCTAAAATATTGATATTTGTGAATATTAAAAAAATTTAGTAGATGCGCCTTCTTATCATGAATCGAATGGTATATTTAACTCATTTATTCATAAATTGTTAGATGCGCCCTTTTTTCTTACGACCGCGTGTTTCGTACCGAGCTAGATACAGGTCGATAGCGGAGGGGGTGTGGGTACAATCGCGTTCTAAAGTACTACATGGTATTGGGCTATTGTTTTATAATATTATAGTAATTAATTGTTTTAATGTAGAATCATAATAGGTGTTTTACTAGCTACTTAGAACTTTGGAAGAGGTGGGAATTAAAAATGGATAATGTTTACATGAGCATTATTTGTTATTTCTATCGTAAAATATAAAGTAGTTTGTAACAAGAAAACTTTAGCTAAGGGTAACACGCCGTCCATTATGACGTCTTGGGTTACATGGAAGCCAGATGTTAATGGTGTGTTGGTGTTACTGGATGCTACTTGATCATCACTTTCATCTTCGCTTGAGCTTCCGTCATCAGGTCGATCACATGGTAATTTTTTCGGTATTCTTCCTCCACACTTTTAACTTTACTGCACAATTTTCCCCATTCACCTTCTCCTATCATATTTACCTTTTCGATCACTAGTTTAGTCATAAAACAATAGATATAAATAATTTTTCTTTCCTTCCTTTTTAAAACATCGTCGCGAGTCGCAAAGTAAGCTGTGTATGCGACTGTATTTTTGGAGCGAACAAAGCGCGGGAACCAATAGCATGCAGGCACACTAATACTGGCGGATTGTTCCCCCGTCGCGCGCCTTTCGTACCAATATGTGATAAATCGCTCAGTGCCCAAGTTCAAGGCCAGCGTTTGTTTTTCACCGTTCGCGCGTACATTAACCTCCATTAGTCAGGTGATATCAATTCAGTTTCCACTGCTGGTTTTATGTTTCAGTATTTTCATGATATTTTTTATGAAATTATCGTTTCATTTAGCTGTACTAACATGATGGCGCGTGAGTAAAGCTAATAAAACGTTGTTAAAAGATGATTTTT